TCTAGACTGCTTTCCTCTTCTAAAAGAGGAAATGTAAATGAGGAAAGAGGAAGTGCAAATGAAACGCCGATTAGTATTTTCTCATGCTTCATTTGCATATCATCTTCCAATCCTTTTTTTGGAAGAAGTTTCAAAAAAAGGAGTCTAGATAGGGTTTTTTGGACCAAAAAAACCCCTCCCTTTTTCGAAAGAACCCTGTAAACCTCATTTTTTGAGGAAGAAGGGATCTTTCAAAAAAGGGTTTTTTTGTGTGGAAAAACCCATCTGGACTGCTTTTCTTTTTTCGAAAAAACCTCTTCTGAAAAAATGATTGGAAGAGGATATGCAAATGAAGTGCGAGAAAATGCTAAACAGTGTTTCATTTGCATTTCCTCTTTCCTCATTGCATTTCCTCTTTTGGAAGAGGAAAGCAGTCCTAGATGTAGCCAAAGAGGGAATTTGCCCAGGGTCCGGGTGATTAAAAAGGGCTTGGTGTGGCCTGGTCACCACTGCTGGTGATGAAGCAAGGCTAAGGCAGCTTGCTGCTGGCCTTCACTCCCAGAAGTGGCCAGCACCATCCCTGTGGCCTAGGGGGAGCATGGGGAGACCACCCCCCATACTCCAAGCACCAACTCCACAGTTCCCATTGGCTGAGGATGTGTGGCCAGTGTTGCCTATAGGCAGTAGCATGTGGATGCTCCACAGTCCCCCCAGGAGCTGCTGCCAAAGGGGTGTGATGGTGGCTTTGGGAGCTGCTAGATGTAAGTGCTGACCCCTGGCCTCCTCCTGCACCCCAACCTCCTGCCCCAGCTCAGAGCCTGCGCTCTGCACCCTCCTGCATCCCAACTCCCTAACGGATCCTGCACATCTCACCTCCTTCTGCACACCAAACCGTGGCCCCAACCTGGTGAAAGTGAGTGAGAGTCTGGTAGAGTGAGTAATGGAGGGAGAGGGGATGGAATGAGCAGGGAACAAGGCCTTGGAGAAGGAATAGGACAGGATCATGGCCTCAGGGAAGAAGCAGAGCAGTAGGTGGGACAAGGATCTTTGGGTCTGTGTGATTAGACAGTAGGTCACTCAGCCAGTCGGGCAGGTGGAAACCTTGGCTGTGCCTGAAGAGAACGTCCATCAGTGCAGCCAACAGCACAATCACAACGCCACCCAAATGTCAGGCAGACCATGACTGTGCGGGCATGGCTTTTGCATGTGTAGGGGCCCATTTGTTGCTTTGCACTCTGTTAATTTCATCAGGTGTCCCCTAGTCCATATCTTATGTGAAGGAGTAAATAAAAATTTCCTTATTCACTTCCTTCCCACCAGTCAAGAGTGTATAGACCTCTGTTGTTTCCTCCATTAGTCATCTCTTTTTCCAAGCTGAAAAGTCAGTCTTTAAATTTCTCCTCATATGGAAGTGGTTCCACAGCCCTAATCATTTTAATTGCCCTTTTCTGTACTTTTTCCAGTTCTAATATATCTTTTTTTGAAATGGGGTATCCAGATCTGAACATGGTTTTCAAGATGTGGGAGTACCATAGATTTATAAAGTGGCATTACGACCTTTTCTGTCTTATCTATCACTTTCCTAATGGTTTCTGTCATTCTGTTGGCTTTTATTTTTTGATTGCTGCTGCACGTTGAGCAGATGTTTTCAGAGAACTATCCACGATGACTCCAAGATCTCTCTTTTTTTGACTAGTAACAGCTACTTTAGACCTTCTAATTTTTTATGAATAGCTGGGGTTAATTAGAGGGCACATGTTATATCTCTATCAAATAATAAATAGTCAAAAGAAGAACGATCAGGAACTTCTGTTTTCCATGTCTCATAACTGCCCCCTCCCTCCCAAAATGGAATATTCATTTAAATAAAAAAGGTGGCCCAAAAATCACAATTCTCCTTTTAAATAATTCCTGCCTGGCTTCTGGGGCTAGATGGGGAATATGACAAAAGTGTACCTCTCACTAATATTGTGATCAATACTGCTGCAGCACTTTCTACCTCAAGGATTTCTATAAGCCCATGTAGTCAGTTGCTAAGGAAACTTCAACACTCTGGCAAAATAATAAGATAAACTAGGATATTCCTCTAGTGCTGGTTTGAGCTGGTTTTTCACCTTCCTCTGTAGCATGGGGCACAGATCACAGCTGGAGGATTCTCTGCATCTTGGGGCCTTCAAAGTATTTGAAGGCTTCAATATCTAAGATATAGGTGAGAGGATTATTCTAAGAGGGGTGGGTGAGATTCTGTGGCCTGCACTGTGCAGGGGGTCAGACTAGATGATCATAATGGACCCTTCTGACCTTAAAGTCTATGAGCACAGCACACACAATTCAGCCATTTCCCTTTGAGAAATGGAGCCACTATGACCTCTGATGACCTTCACATGTAAGTAGAGTTAGGTCCCGTCGATCAGGGAACCAGGACCAATAATACCATTTGACTTTAACTCAGTTCAATAATTAAAAAGCATTAGAAGAAGCTATCTTGAAATTTTAATGGAAATCCAAGAAATGCAATAAATGGTAAACACTTTGAATTTTTTTTTGGCTTATGTGATAGGGTTCACATGAAGCTTTGTGTCTTAGAAGCTGTGTGAACTCCACCAGTGACACACTTTTTGAGTAGTTTTAATTTAGCATAAGAGATGTTAGCAGGTCTTGTCTAGAGAAGATTACTGCGAGGAAGAAGTTGGCTTTGAATTAGAATAGCCTTGATGGTTAAAATTCTTTCCTGGAATTAGGTATGACCACAGGAGTCAAATAGTTTTAAGAAGTGGTGTGTGAGGGTGTCTGCATGCGGTAAATTATTTCATTAGTTCTTCTTCATGGTCCCTATCCAACATAATTAATATCTAAATGTTCTGTAGAATTAGTCTAGTTTCCTGCCTGGCTGGATGACAATCACCACTGAGGTTTGAAGTCATGGCAAGCAAAAGCAGATGGTCACCTTTGTTAACAGATTACTGCATCAAGGGCTACAGCCATGTAGCTCTGTTTCAATAAACTTCAATGTATGATTTACAGAGTGGTCATAATAGAAGAAATTCATGATGCCTATAATCAGAATCATATTACAGTACTGCTTAAAGCACTAGCAGAATTGCCTAAGCAGTTATTGTATACTCCTGATGATTTCAAATCTTATTAGTCAAGAAAGCAGTGCTTGGAAAATAATTTGTCTTCCCTTTTCTGTTATGACTTTTCATTTCATTTTTATTGAACTAATTAAACTTCAAGTGGTATTTCAAGTACACATAGTTTCTATTGCATTTCTGGCCAACATATTAATGTGCCAAAATGAACACAAATCTGATATAAGAGACTAAGTATGGGTGTTCTAATAATAAAATAAATTCACCTTGCTAAACTTGTAAACTAGCAAGTACATGATAGAAACTGCTCCACCCTAATTTAAAAAAATGTAGATAGAAGCTCTGTTGCAGAAAAAGAAAACTCATTGCAAAACAATAAATGTCTAACACTGCTGTTTTGCTGTGCAGAATATTTGAGATGATAAATTGCTAACAAAACAGGTCTAAGATTGCTGCTGAATTGAGTCACAGTGAGGACAAAGCTAAAGTTATCTTTCTACAGTAGAGAAGGCTCAACATCCCATAACAAAGCTCATGTGCTTTCAGCATTCTGCTTATTGTCAGTGCAAAAAATATAGTTTTGAAGCAGAGAAAAACATACTTGTCATGTCTCATGTACCTGAAAAAAGTTGATTTTTTTTGGCCTAATATGCTGCTGACCATATTTTTAAAAGAGTTTAGGCTCCTAAATGAAATGTTTAGGTTTTCAAAATTCCTCAGAACATGACATCATCTATTGTTCTGGGAGTTGAGCTCTACCAAAAATCTGACCACTTCATTTGGGTGCCTAAAATGCAGCAAAGAGCTGAACTCTTCTGAAAATTTGCTCCAGCATAGATTCTCTCCAACACCAGAGCACCACCCAGTGCAGGTGTGGTGAAAAGGATGAGATATCAGGTTTCAGCTGCCTGATTCTTGGGTCAGCCCTGATCCAAACAGAAGGTAGAGCTGCTATCTAGCAAATGATACAGGGAGTTCGTTTAATTCTGTGGCTGAAGTATCCTAGAAATGCCCTGGAAACAGTTAAGGAGCAGAGGACTTGAATAGTTTGAGCTGCTCCAGATGTGCCTCTTCATTCCCTTGTCATGCCAATCTCATAGCTCTTGCCCTTCTTATTCAGTTTATCTCAAGATCTGGATATTTCTATCACTGGATTTAGCAAATGATACAGGGAGTTCGTTTAATTCTGTGGCTGAAGTATCCTAGAAATGCCCTGGAAACAGTTAAGGAGCAGAGGACTTGAATAGTTTGAGCTGCTCCAGATGTGCCTCTTCATTCCCTTGTCATGCCAATCTCATAGCTCTTGCCCTTCTTATTCAGTTTATCTCAAGATCTGGATATTTCTATCACTGGATTATG